GTGCTACTGCCATTTCATTGCCATTTATTGAGATGACCTCGGTGGTGGCGGTGATGCACTCGATGCAAGAGAGAGAGACAATGAAGCCAATGGGGAATGAAGCAGTAAGTGGCCTTCCCACTTTCCCACTTTCTCTCTCTCACTAATGTTCTCATTCAGACATTACCTAATCAGTGGTATATAATCCTTGGCAGTGGATGTGGAAGCTGTGCTGCTGCTGCTGCTCCACTAGCCTCGGTGGCCTTCAACTGTGCAGCACTACACGCACTCATTTGCGTCAGTGAGCTGGCAGTGGTGGTGGCCATTGGCCTTATCAGCATCAGTCGGTGGTGATATTGTGCGCGAAGAAGAACATCAACAACAACTCTATCTCCCTCTGGTAACAACTGCTTCGCTTCTTCTGCGTCACCTCTTTTCCTCTGTCACTGTCACTGTCTTCTTCCTCCTCTTCTCCCATTGACCGGGAAGTGCCCCGTACACCCTGAGCACACAGTGTCCTCTCCTCTCCGTAATCTCCCAGTTCATCAGATATGGCCTGCTTTGTCCGTCCGTAGTGTTGCATTGCCCATTGCTCTGCTGTCACTGCTATTGTCATCGATACTCATCAGTTCAGTTCAGTCATCGATGAGAGCTGGGCAGCCTGTGAACGCGCATTGTCTTCCCTTCCCTTCTGACCGGTGAGTGTCACCCAAAATGTGCTGTTGTTGTCTTTAAGTGAAACCAAGTTTTCCTTCTTCATCGTCTTTCCCCGTTTTCAGCTCGTGAGTATATATGCTTCGTCTGGCCGGGAAGCTCTGCTCAGCGGCTCTCCTCCCTCCCTCGATGATGGCACTGAAGCAGGCGACCACCACGACGACGGCCGACGATGATGAAAACAGCTCCAACAACTCCACTGAATTCACTGAATCCTCTACTTCGAGCGATCTCCAACTTCGCAGCCTCCTCGCCCACCTCTTCACCGTCACCCTTCAGCAGCAAATCGACGCTCACCGAACCGAGGAGCAGTACTCCTCGCTGACCGGTATCTACCTCTTTCACATCGTCAGTCCCCGCTGGAGTAGTCCCCTCTTCTGGAGTAAGTGTATTCTGTAGACAAGTACACCTCACTTGCACTCACACCTACTTCTTTCTCAGTGTTTATCTTTCTCTGTGTTGATTTGTTTCTCTTCTTTTCCTTTTCCTTTCATTTCTTTTCCTTCTTTAGCTGTGGACCTTCAGGTGGGCCTGGCGTACGAGGGCAAGCCCCGAGGTGGCGAGCCGCCGCTGACGACCTATCTCATTGACGCCCAGGATCTGGTGGAGCTGCTCAACGGACGACTCAACACTGCTCACGTACGTACCTTTTTTGTGGCTTCTATTCTTTTCCCTATCATCAATCTCTCACTCTCTTTTCCTTCTTTTCAGGCGTACCTGAGCGGAAAGCTCAAGCTGCTGGGGAACACGGCGGCGGCTTTCAAGTTTCAGCACTTTATCAACGAGACGCTGAAGCAGAACAACAACAACGTCGAGGAGGAGGAGGAGGAGAAAGGGCAGGAGCCAAAGATGAACTCCTCTTCCCAACTCCTCCTTTCGGGCATCCCCACCTGCGGTCTGAAGTGCGACGTCATTTTCGAGCTGATCCGGGCTCGCCTCTCCACCGAGTCTGCCCTGGTCGCCTCGGTCACCCCCTTTGTGGTGCAGGTCAATGTCCTCAAGGACAAACGCCCGGTCACCAGCTGGACCATTGACACGCGCACTCCGGGAGGGCTGGTGTACCGAGGAGAGGCGGCCACTTCCACCTCCACCTCCTCTCCGAAAGTGGACGCCACGCTGAGCGTGGAGGATGACGACTACATTTCGCTGCTCTTTGGCCGCCTCAACCCGCAGCGGGCATTCATGAAGGGCCTCCTCAAGGTGAAGGGCAACATTCTGCTGCTGCAGCGACTCGATCAGCTGTGGAATCGACTGCAGAAGACGCGCCACGACCCGGAGCTGCCCCTCCTCAGACAGGTCCTCCTCGAAACGGTAGGCAACAACAACAACAGCAGAAAGCTTTCTTAGCTTGATTATCAGCTAAATCATCTGCTTTCTCGCTGTACAGCAACTTCAGCCAGGCCTGCTGAGTGAGACCGTCTTCTTTGAGCTGATTGCCCGCTTGGCCCGAGCCGGCCCCGGCGAGGTGCTGCCCCCGGGCACTGCAGTTCGCTTCAGCATCACCAAGGGCGGCACTCTGGAGGCGCAGTGGCGTAAGCATTCCAGACTGATCACCGACTTATTCCAACTCATAATCCCGTCCTTCCTTTCCTTCCCTTCAGTGGTGGCCACCGACCCTGAGGGCCATCTGCTGCCGGTGAAGCACCAGACCCGGCTGTCTAGTGGTGGAGGAGGCCCCCTGACGCCGATTGCCGGCCCCTCCGACCTGGAGCTGATGATGGAGGACGAGGAGCTGGCGATGCTCACCCGCCAGCCGCAGCAGTGCACTCTCGAGCAGGTACAGTTTGATGGTGTCTTCTCGAATCTTCCATCTCTCTAACACCATTTGCCATTTTTTTGCAGGCCATTGCCAGCCGTCGAGTGCACGCCACGGGCGACACCAGCTCTCTCCTCCCGAAGCTGTCTGCGCTCTTTAGGCAGCAGCAGCCATCACCACCATCATCAACGGCATCAGTTCTGAAGGCCAAACTGTAGAGCTGTTCAGTTCAGTTCTTCTCTCTGTTTCCTTTTACTCCATTTTATCCCCTCTCTCTCCGTTTCTATTTATCGTTGAATAAACACACACAGGGCAAGTTGTGGCAGTCTCTTCGCTTGCCAGCTTGCCATCCAGCCAGCCATATGATCGATTTGTTTGGCAGTGATCACCATTGAACAGCATTGAACACACACACACACACACACATCCTCTCCCTCTCCCTTTCCCACTCTTTGCCTTCCTGTTGCTAACTGGCCGATAACTGTTTATCCCACCAGCAGCACTGAACTGAGGAAGGAATCCTCAATCACTACTGTATAGCAGTTGTACAGCTTCTGTTTGCCTTTCCCCGCTGTTTCTCTGCTGAACATGCCAGACATTCAGATGGACTTTTGCTGGTGGCCGCCAGATGGTGACGATGTCGGCGCGTGTGCTCCCCTCTGTCCGCTTGCCGCTAGCAGTCGGCGATGGCGGTGGTAGTGGCACTGGGCACAGTGGTGGGGCCGTCGTCGGTGCTGCACCTGCCGTGCAGCCTGGTGATTGGAGAGCCATCGCTTTCTTTCTCTCCGTCTGGTCTCATCGGGCAGCATTGTCAACATCAACGCTGATCCACTCGGTCGTTGCCGATTCTATTTCTATTCCTCTCCTCTCTCTCTCTCACCGTTCCCGAAACGATCCACACATTCTCAATCTCAATCTCTCTCTCAGCTTTCTCTCTGCTCTGGCCACCCGTCTCACCAAACAAGTGCTCCTCACACACAGTGCTCCCACTCACTCGCGGCTGAACTTTGGCTTTGGCTCTGGTGCTCGCTGGTGGCTGCAAGTAAACACACACACACACACTCCCAATCGCTTTGCATCCTCTCTTCAAGTGATACAACAGATGATCATCCCAACTGCTGGGGTAAGTTGTCAAGTTCTCTTGCTTTTGCTGCTTTCTTTCGGCTGCTGCTGCTCAGATGTCGTTGCCATTTCGGTGGTGATGGTGGTGATGGTAGCCGATCCTGTCTGCCTACACACACTCGCTCACTAGCTCACTCACACTTTGACTGTCATACCTGTTTGCTGGCGATTGGACTTCTTTACAGGTAGGAGCAGAGTCAGTCTGACTGACTGACTGGCTGACTCTGTGTGTGTGTGTGTCCGTCTGTCTGTGAGGGCACTGCCAGCGCACACTGACTGGCCTGGCTCACTCAGCACGGCTCGCTTACTCTCCTTCTTCTTTGCCATCGCCTTCGCCTTCGCCTTCTTCTTCTTCTTGTGTTCTTTCCTTCTCTGCCATTGTCTCTACCTGCCTGCCATTAGCTCAACCGACGATCTGCGAGGAGACCATTGCTGAAGCAACAGTGCTCGGGTCGACGCCTCTGCGCTCATTTTTTCGCTTTCAGGAGCACTCTGATTAGACTAGTGATTGTGCCTTCTCTGCTTACCTTATTTAGAAGTGACCATCACCATCACCGCTGTGCCTGCATGACTCAACGTCAGTTTGATTACTTGCTTACTTGTTGTGTTTGAGTTGGAGTAACTCAACAGATTTCCACGATTTAACCCAGTGTCACTTGAACTCCACTTGCAGGTTGATCTTTTTGCCGGGCTCAACTACGGAACACATTAACATGACAAAGGTAGGTTATCTTTTGCTCAGAATTCATTCCATCTCCTCTAATACACACACTCTCTCTCATTCCCAAATGCAGCGTGGAATCGAGGAATCAGTGGTCAAGGCTGTAAACGGTGCCAGCGCAATAACGACAACGAACGGCGGCGCCGCGTCGGCGGCCGCCTCCAGCGCGGGCGTCCTCCTCGCCGACTCGCCCACCACCACGCCGATGATCGTCGACGGCGTCAACGGATCGGCCTGCGCCGTCCCCGGCTCGGTGACCAGCACCAGCAGCAACAGCTCCGCCTATGCGCACCTCAACGGCGTCATCGACAGCTCGGTGGTCGCCCTGATGCCCGACTCGAAGAAGATCAAGGTGGACCACGGCGACGATGCGGGCGGCTCGAGCGGCAGTCCGCCCCACAACTACCACCACAGCTCGGGAATCTCCGGAATCAGCACGGTGGTCAGCGGCGGAGGAGGCGGCGGCGGCGGCCAAGGTCAG